GAATACTTCCTAATATTAATAAGTAAATGAGGGAGGAAAAAAGTTCTCCCTTACAGTAGAATGTCAACTAATAAATATAAGAGTGATAGAAATAAAGAATCACTATTTGGCAGCCTCAATAGAGGTGGCTGACTCAGGCAGAAGTCATTAATATGATAAGGCTGTAGGTGGAGATTTAATGAGGAATAGGCTATTAGCATAACCTTAGAATACTTCCCCACAAACACCATACATTTCAAAGGGGAAAATGATAAATTTAAGGTGAGAAGATCTGGCAGACACCCACATAGCCGGCCAGGTGACCGAGGCCAATATTCCAGTGGTGCGACAAGCTGACATTTTATACCAGCTAATTTATGCGCTAAGAAGAGCAGAATATGTATTCCTGCCAAGAACACAAGACCTGAGTCTGGTTCTGAAGAAATACCTGCTAGATACAGGCTGAGTCATCCTGCAGAATATATGATCTACAAGGACTTAAGGCATAGGGAAAGTCCAAGAAACTATTCCAGAAGAGACATGGCAAATTGAATATGGATCAGACAGGAAAAAAAGACATTTAGGGGACAACTGTTGAAATATGAATGGGCTCTGTGGATTGGATGGTAGTGTTGTACCAATTCAATTTCCTGATTTGCTAGTACAATGATTAATTTTATGTGTCAATTTGACTGGATTAAGGGATGCCCAGGTAAAACATTATTTGGGTGTGTCTGAGGGTGTGTCTGGAAGAGATTAGTAGACTGAATAAAGAAGATCGACTTCATCTATGTGGGTGGGCCTCAGGTGACACATGGAGGGCCTGAATAGAACAAAAAGGTAAAAGGGCAAATTTGCCCTGTGGCTTGTGCTGGGCTTGTATCTTCTCCTGCCCTTGGACATCAGTGCTCCTGGCCTTGGGCCTTCGTTCTCCAGCTTGTAGACGGCAGATTGTGGGACTTCTTGGCCTTTGTGATCTCAGGAATCAATTTCTATAGTAAATCTCCCTCTCTCTCTCTCTCTCTGAACCTTGTGTTTGGATTTCTAGCTCTCCTTGGAGAGTGAAAGACTCCGACCGACTCCACAGGCCACCTTTGACTCTCCTAGCCTTGGTTCATCTTGGGGCAGCTCCAGAATCTCTGAAGAGGAGGGGCTTTGGGGCAGTCTCAGTCAAAGGGGACCCAAGGAGGCTGCCTTAAAGCTGCATTTACAAAGCAAGCACACTGCTTTTATTTAGATCTCATGTTTATTTGGGCAAACTGGCATAGCTTATGGAGGGGCCAAAGTGCCCTCCAACCCGGCCCTGCCACCTGCCAAGCCATCTCTTGAAGATACCACTGAATTGGCGCATGGCCTAGTGAAGGCCAGGGCTAATAAAACTGCAGCCCAGTGTCCCAGGGAACAATGAAGACATAGGCCTAGCTGAGGAGTGTCTGGGGGGAGCCTGAGAGGTGGGTTGGCGCTGATAAATATCCTTTGGAACGGGTGAGGGAGGCTATACTGGATACTGGGCGGGTTGTTTTCCAGAGTGACACCCAGTCTGGCCCTAAGGCTCACTCTGCAAAGCACTAAACTGACTCAGTCTGGCCCAGCCTGAGGTATCTGAATGATTCACATCTGAGAAGAGGCAAGGTCCATGGGGCCCGGACAGTGTCAGGATCACAGGCGAGGAGTTCAAGGCAGGAGGCAGGCAGGACAGGAGGCTAGGGGCCAGGTGCTCCAGAGGCCAGGCCAGGAGAGGAAGAGGAATAAGGAGGAGGACATCAGCCTGGCGGGTGAAGAGGAGGTGGGCACAACTCAGAAAATCAGAAACTTCCTCTCACTGGCTACTGCTCACCTGGCTTCCCACAGACAGCAACGCGTATCTTTCAGATGGAATGAAATAATTAGATTAATTGTTTGCGAGAGGAAAATGCTTGAGTCAGTTTGATGCCTTGCAGGGTGAACCTTAGAGCCCCAAGTTAGCAAGAAAGCACAGGGCAGTGAGGACGGCGTAGGGCGTCCCATGTGGATGTCTGATGAATGCCATCATGCTCTCCTCTGACACTGGCTGGGTGCTCTTTGTTTTTGTTCATTAAGAACCGAGACGAGCAGACAGTACAGGTAATTGTAAGAGGGAAATCAAGCCTTTTTGAAACTTTGCCCTGTGTCTTCGATTGCACAGTATTAGATATTCTCAGTCCTGAAATTTATCTTCCTCTTGTATTCCCCACAGAGCAGTTTCTCAACCTTTGGCACGATTTCATCTTTGATGTCTCATTCCACATCAGAGGCCAGGAGAGAGGGGTGCGGAGGGACTGCAGCCCTGCCCACTTAGCACACCCACATGGACATCCTACCACCCCCTACAGCCTGCCAGGGGTGTCCCACATCTGGAGGTCCACCTCTTCAATCCCAATGTTTAATTCCAATGTATCCTCACAGGGTACAAAACTCTTTCACCTACATGACTTATTGGGCCTCAACAACAACCCATGCAGCTGGGTAAAAAGGAATGATCATCCCCATTATGTAAATGAGAAAATGAATTCAAGGATGACAAGAGATTTATTCAAGATCACAAGAACTCACGAAAGTGGGGCTGGGATTAGAACCCAGACTCCTGTACTCCAACTCCCCTCTAACCAGCACCGTAAAAGCACAAACTCTCAGGGTTTCTGCAGACACCTCTGCCATCGACAGCAGGACTAAGTTCCAGGGACCTCCTCCCCATACATACAGACTCCAGCATGAGGGACAAAGGATCAGCGAGGCCAGAGAGGAAGCGGCTCAGTACCTGCAGGAGGGATGGGGGGTGGGGTGAGGGGGACAAAAGGACCAGAGCCAGGAATGGGGGAAGCAAGTGAGGAAAGTGCTCGAAACTTCTCAAGGATCCATCTTTGCCAGAAAAAGGTAGGGTTGCACCCATGTTTCCAGAAATATCAATACTTTAATGTTCATCTATCTAGAAGGAAAAGAAGGCAACCGACATCTAAGGAGCACTTCCTGTATATCAGGTGCCCTGCTAAGTGCTTTTCTCTGTGAATCTCGGGAGGTGGATGTCATCTTTGTTTTTCCAGACAAGGAAATGAAGGCTTAGAGACGCACAGCCATGTAGCCCAGGTCACAAAGCCCGGCCTGGAACAAAGGCTGGTCTGACTGCAAAGCCCTTCTCTTGCCTTTACACCACATTCATAATGCCCTGGGCCTGGGCTCTGCCATGTAGAAGCTTGCAATCAGCCTTAACCACCCTGATGGATATAATCACAGGCCAGAACGCATTCTGAACTAATGTACACTCCCGGGAGAATGGCTAATAGGTCATCTGAGCCATTGTTATCCCCACTGGAGTTACAGTGATTCCCCCTTGCTCCAGCCCAAAGAAATAAGAGGTTGGGCTTAGGTTGTGGTGGATTCCTGCCCCTCAGCAGCAAGATGGAAAACCTGGGAGAGACCCAGCCAGCCCTAGGCATGTGGTGTTCTCATTTCAGTCTTCATTCATAGAAAACATACACAGATCTGTTCTATCCAACATCTTGTAAAACAGCCAGATACCTAAAGGAGACCTGAACTGATAGCGTGTGGTAGTTGATTTATGCATTTGTCAGAATTAAAAAAGAGGATGTGTCATTTGTAGTTAAAGTTATAAAGACAAAATAAAATAAAAATAAATCAAGAAAAAAGTGTGCCTAACTGATCTATTTTTCTAGTTATATGGTAGTGACAATCAAATTAAGTTATGTCCAGGTGGTCAGATGTCCAGATATTGGGACATGACACCGGGTCCCAGACTCAAGGCACAAAAGACAACTCTGGAAGCTTATCTCAAATACATCAGCCTCACTGGCAGGGTTTGCTTGCTGTTGTTTTGTTTTGTTTTGTTTTTTTAAGAATAACCCAGTTTGTTTAGACAAGCATGGTGTTAGCAGAGCCAAGGTTGTGTGTTTCTAACTGTATCACTTCTGTGGGCGTGGAGGAGGGGCGGTGAGGAAAATTCTACTCACTGGATGGACCACACAAAAGTGGATCCAATGTCTCATGGGAAGCAGGCGAAGCAACTACTGATAGACACTTCACTGGGAAACCTTAGCAATACAAGAGCTTATGCATTAATGAAATGTGGTGTGTGCATGGAGTAACAGCCTACTTATAAAGGAATCATCTGTCTGTGGCCAACGTTCACTTTATTCTCCAATTTATACAAACAGGTAGGAACCGTGAGCAGCTAGGTGGCCCTTAACTTCTAAAGTAACATTCCAAGACCAGGTATTACTCTGGGTGGCAAAGGACTAAGGAGGCAAACGTGTTGCAATGACAACAACAAATTACAGGTGTGTGTGTGGGGGCGGGGGGCATTTCGTGGAAATTATTCGCTTAAAAGTTGACCTACAAATGCTTTGGGGAACCGTTTTAATGATTATCTTATTCGATTCAATTGTTTCCATTACTCACTGTCACTCCTCAAATTACATGCTTGAGAAATTTCTAAACAATTTTGGGTATTCGCAGCTTGCTGAGGGAAAGCAATAAAGTAACACTGCTACAGAACAAAGCCCGTTTGTCCGCCACGGGGACCTTCCCTTACAGAGCACAACCCCCTAACAGTGTTACTAGTTAATAATAACTATTTCCCGAGTGTTTAGATGACTCGCCTGGTTCGAGCTGTTCCCTGACACACCATTGTACGGGGAGTAACCGGAGGCTGAAGAATGTTATATCCCCGGGCTCCGCGGGAGAACCAAGGCGGTAAGACCGAGTTTGGAGAAGCAGCACCTGTGCAAGCGGAGCCCTGCGCCCAGCCCACAGCCCACGGCCAGAGCGAAGCCACCGGCGCGGGCATTCCGATGGCTTGTTACTCCTCGGAAAAAAGGGAGAACGGGCCGGGTGCGCCTCACGCCGCCAGGAGGGTCCCGTCCCAGGTGCCTGCAGTGGATCTGGGTCCCGAGCTGGCAGTCCCGAAAAGCTGGGCCCGGCGGAGGCCCCCGCAAGCCGGCCTCCCCACGCCCGCCCCAGAGCCCTCCCGTGCCCGGCGCCCCACTCACCGCTCACGCTCGCCCGCGCCGCCGAGCCCGGGAGCGGGGGGCCCCTGCGGCTGCCGCATGCCCTCGGGCCGTGCGCGACGGGGCGGCCGGGCGCTGGCCTTCCTCCGGGCGCGAGGAGCAGCGGAGGACACGGTGGTGGCGGCGGCGCGCCTCTTTGCCAACTGCGGCTGCGACGCGTCCCGAGCCCAAGGAAAGTTTGGCGGAGCAAGGGGTGGCGCCCAGGGGGCGGAGGGGCCGCGTCCCCGCCCTGCCCCGCCCTGCCCGCCCCAGGAGCCCGACCGTTCCCACGGGAGAGCGCCCCCCACCGGCGACGCACGGATCGGGTTCTAACGCAGATGCTCTCCTGCCTGGAACTGGTCCCCAGGAGGGTGGCCAGCCTGGAGGAGAAGGAGCCAGAGGACCGCTGCCATCCGCAGGGCTTACGGAGCCATACCTCGGAGTTCCGAGTTCGGTGCTTTCTCTCTGTCCCTCAGATGTGTTTGAAGAGGCTGCGGGCAAGTGCAGCCACACCCATCCGCCCCCACCTTCTGTGGGAAGCAGGCTCACTGTCAGAGGAACACTTGTTCTAAAACTCGAACCCGAGGGTGCAGGCAGCCCCAGAGTCCAAGGATGGTCACGTATATCTGGTTTGGGGGGCCTTTCCTAGGCATCTTTTGATTGAAACAGGAAATAAAAAAGATTTAAAGTTATGAAAGAGGCTTCTTGGCCTCCTGGGGTAAATAGTCCTGGATACTTTGTTCTTGAGAGATGAAATCTAAAGCCTCCACTGACCCACCTTTGCTAAAGAAGAAAGATGCAAAGTAAAACAATGTCATGAAGCCTTTGTTCTTTCTGAACTCTGAAAAGTAAAATAAAATCACGGACATGCTAAAAGTTGGGCGTTCCTGGTGACCTCACAGAAGGGAAATACTGTAATGCGAGGCCCTTCTTATTCATGCTTCAAAACTTTGTGCAACCCTGAGTGCTCAGGGGACTGCCTGTAACCCTTTGCCATTCATTCATTCATTCATTCATTCATTCTTCATTCTACTTCTGTATCCAACTAGGAACCATATTCCAAGAAACAACCTGTCCCCTACCACCAAAGAAATTCTGCTCTCTCTGAAGATCATGTCTTAATAATGTTTTACTCCTTATACAGTGGACCTCATCCCAAAGGCCATGACGGTCTGGTGTGCCTCAAACCTTCCCCGCGATGTGGCTAAATTTTGACCAACATGTACAAATTATTGTTGCCTCACCTGAGTGTTCAGAAAAGTACTGTGGTGACTTACAAATGAACTGTGTACAGAGGGCTACAACTTGCAAAGCTAGTACTAAAGAAAGATCTGTTTACCAGAACAAGCAAAAACCTTGCAGATGACATATGAGAACGAGGTCAGGGGAGTGAACAGCTTCAACAAATAACACAATGCTGAAGGGCAACCTGGTGAACACAGAAAAATTCCCCACCGCCAGCAAGCACTTAGCAAACGCTTGACTCAGCAAATGTGCAGCACGTCCAGTAAGTTGTTGCAGGCTGAACTGGGACCTGTAAACACCAGTTAGAGACTACTTCTGCTGGAAAAATGTGTTCCACGTTCCAAACAACTCATTAGCAAAGGCAGTTTGGAAACACATTATTGTAACTTGGAACTTCCTGAACCTGAGCATTGCAAAGTAGAACAGGGAGGTGGTAAAGCCAGATGGGATTGCCTTTCATGTATGAATCCTAAAAAGAGGAGAGAGGAGAAGGGAATACGGTGAGCTGTGCTGCAAAAAGACAGACGTTTTAGCTAGATTTTTTTTTTTAAACAAATGTGGTCTATAGCTGAGCAGAAGGCAAAGAATAGAAGCTGAAGGAAGAGGGCAGGGAAGAACACCCAGCTTACATATAGACAGACCTACACACGAGGACAGGAGAAAAGGGACAAGATGCAAAGGATAGTACAAATCAAGGTGTTGTCCCAAATCCTAGTTTTTAGAAAGAAGCTCAAGGATTAAACCATCAGAACCTTCTTTAAGTCCTTGTAGGGTCTGTGGTGTCTCTACCGTAATGTTTTTCTTAGTAAAACAAGTTAAAATCAATATAAAAAATGGCAAACACAAAGCCTGAGGGTATACTTTGCCTTAAAGATCACTGGCTGGAAAGTCATTCCGAACTTTTTCATTTGCGGGTCAGCTCCCTGTATAATGCTGTGTTTTGTGTTCCTGGAGACACGGAGATTTATAACATTGTTTCTGTAAGGGGAAAGGGGGCATTCCACAGTGCTTGATGGAAGAGTTGTGATGGCCTTGGAGACCCTGTGTCGGCCAGCATTGTACTTGGCAGGGAATAAATGCTGCAAAATAAATAAACAAATTAAATTAAAAAATAAAACTGCCTCCTGCCCAGTGAGAAGTACTGTAGGACTCAGGCAAGCTTCTTCCTTTCTGGATTTATGGGAAGAGGCCCATGTTCCTCTGTCCTCCAATTTGGCTTGGACCTCTGATCATAGGAACAGGAATTCATAGAGTTTGCAGTCTTAACTTTGGGAAATGACTGAACTGAAATATCTCAAGTCAAATGTAACAAAACTGTTATATTTTGTTCATCTGTACTAATTAGCAATTAGGATGCCTACAGAATAATGTGAGAAAGCGGAAAGGCAGTTATTAAGCAAGGGCTATAACTGGTACCTGAAATAACAATTAGCTAGGACAGCAATTTTCAACCATTGTGCTGCAAGAATTTTTTAAAATATATGTATTTTTTTATTGATTTCAGAGAGGGAGGGAGAGGGAGAGAGAGATAGAAACATCAGTGATGACAGAGAATCATTGATTGGCTGCTTCCTGCTCGCCCCACACTGGGGATCGAGCCCAAAACCCAGGCATGTGCCCTGACCAGGAATTGAACCATGACCTCCTAATTCATAGGTCAATGTTCAACCACTGAGCCATGCCTGCAGGCCGGGCGCCACAAAGATTTGTAAAACATGCAATAACTGAGTATTTAGTCAAGGGCACTGGCCCCTTTCCTTAGATTGTCAAGTGAAAAAATGACAATAGCCAACACAACAATAGCCCTCTGGTGTGAATGATTTCAAAATTATACCTATTGTTTTTTTCAGATCAGCAAAAAATATACTTTTTGGTGTGCAGCAGAATTTTAATAATTAGTTTATGTGTGCCATGAAATGAAAAAGGTTGAAAAGTGCTGAGCTAGAAGATTCTGAGGGAAGACTGAGCAAAAGGTTAACCACAGAAATCAAAGAAAAGGAGATGGCAGGAAGCCAGGTGATGGCCTGTAGAGTGTCTTTCAATTGCCTGTAACTTCAAGTGGGAAGCAATAGGAAGTCACAGAAAGAGTCAACAAACACCAAAAAATCAAAGATCAAAATCAACTTAATTTCATTTAAATTGAACAAACCATCTCATATGACATGCATGAATCTTTCAAAAATACTTCTTAGATAGTCATCCCATCACTACTTAATGTATGCACATTTTTGTGCTTGAAAAAAGAGTGACCAATGTTGAGAATAGAAGTCATGGTGGAACTCTTATTCTATGAGATATGAAAATTTATTATAAAGCCATAATGACAAGGGTGCCCCAGGGCCCAGATTTGTGCCTCTCATCCATTTGCAAAAGCATCCTAGTTTGGTTGACAAATTATATAGTGAATTTAATTAATAATTAAAACAATATGGAAGTGGGTGCAAAAACTAGAGAGAAAAACATCTGACCAGAATAGCTATCCCATATACAGATTCTGGTAAGTATAAAAATGTTTATATTTAAAGAAGTTGGCATCTTAAATCAGTAAGAAAATGAGGCTTATTCAGTCCAGTGTATTTACTTTTGTGGAGAAATAAGGTTAGATTCTTACTAAAGTGATTTTCATATGCAGTAAAAAGTTAATTTCTTAAAAAAGAGAAAGAACCATAAAAAATTTCAAAGAAAATAAAGGTTACTATTTATTTGATTTGAAGTTTGGGGTGAATGTTTTTAAGCAAAGGAAGAAAATATTAATTTCTTGACTGTGTGCAAATTAGATACTTCTGCACATAATAAAAATAATCCTGTAAGTTTAAATTCAAAAATAAAAGTAAAAACAAGGGGAGAAAACTATTTGCAGCATATAATCGGTAAAGGTGAATACCTGTCCTACATTACTTATTGAGATGCATGTAGAGAACTCTTAATATTTAAAGATTAACATTGAAACAGAAAAATAAGTCAAGTATATGAAGAATGAGTAAAAGAAGAAATACAAATGACCAAAAATATATAAAAATGAATGTCAACAAGTGTAAAACGAGTATAAATTAACATGAGATACTACTTGTCACCTATCAAATTGGTAAAGGTTTTTGATTATAGAAATTCCCCAGATTGACTAAGGTTTAAAGGAAATAGGTAACTTCATGTGGTGCTGCTGGGAATACACATGGGTAAAAGTTTTCTGGTGGGCAATTTGCAGTATAGCAGCTTTCATTCATGCTCAGAAGTACTTTTTTTCACATGCTAATAGCTCTAAGTTTTGTTTTTATTTAAATATATTTTATTGATTTTTTTACAGAGAGGAATAGAGAGTTAGGAACATCGATCAACTGCCTCCTGCACACACACACACACACCCACCCCCCAGGGAAGTGCCTGCAACCAAGGTACATGCCCTTGACCAGAATTGAACCTGGGACCCTTCAGTCCGCAGGCTGACGCTCTATCCACTGAGCCAAACCAGTCAGGGCTAATATCTCTAAGTTGAGATGAGGTTTATGATCACTGTCAGACAGGCAGCAGTTGTGATTTAGTTGTCATTGCCTGCCCATACATACCAATATTTAAAGAATGGATATCGGCGTTTGGAAGAAAATCCTGGAGCAAAACAATAGAGCACTTAAAAAAACAAAAAACAAAACTGCATCCAAATGCTCTGATGGCATTCAGATCAAGGACTGCACAGAGCCAAAAAGTGAGTCCAAAAAATGAGAAAGTTTAGGAACAAATACCATAGCCACCCATTTTGCTTCTCCTTTATGGTATACAAAAATAAGATATAAGCTGATTGTATGTTTAAGTAAGTCCAAAAAACTCTTTCAATGATTATAAAGTAAACGGTATATGAGATAAGATAGCATTACGTTTAATTGGCATCATTTTCTTTCTTTGTGTTACATAAAATACTGGGATACCTTACAATTTATGAGATCTTGAGC